TAATGCATGTATCAAGCCAGGTAACACTGTTCTTTGGACCAAAATTTGACCTTTGTTTCAGAACTTTGGACACTGGAAACCCGAGGACTCAAGGTAGAACCTGATTTTCTTTACCAAGAGCCTGTGTATCTTGATCCTAAATAGATAAACCAGGGCCCAAGTTAGCTTCATTGCCTAGTTGTTAGGTTGTCACATGTCAGCTTTGGCTCGTGTATGGCGCTTGACTTGGTACTGCCATGGAAAAACCAGGAAAAGATAAACTTTGGCAGGCCTCTGAATCTTCAAACAATTTCCAGGCAAAGTACATGCCCTTAAAGTGCCGTGGAAAAGAAAAAAAAATTTTAGACAGTTTGGAAGTGACACGCAAGTCAAAAAATTAATTTTACGCGAAAAAAAAATTTAACAGCAGTATTGACGGCGAGAAATTTATTTGAAATTCTGTGCGCAAAGCTCATGACGTCGCGGAATGGTCATTTGCTCACCAAGATGGCAATTCGCTCTTTCCACCTCAACGTGAAGGAGAAGCCGATCCACCTCTCCTCCACGCGCCCGAAATGCCGAGAGAGAACAAGTGGAAAGGAGGTGATTACTGACTAAATCGCGTCTCGCGCCGTCAATATTACTCTCAATTTTTTTTTTCGCGTAAAATTATTTTTAAAGCGTGTCGCAATCAGACTTTTAAAAGAAACAAATCTTTTTCAGGGCGTTTTAATGAGTGCTTTCGAGCAAAATCCTCTAAGGCTCATATTAAGATTTTTATATTGCCAAACCTAGGACAAAGTTAAGTTTTTTCACTGCTGCGCAATACGCTACGCATTGATTAGTTTGCATGAAGTTTGGCTCAAACGCCCACGCAGTAACGATGTGGTCATCGGGCATGTGCCCAGTTGGTACGGATTTGGCAACATCATGTACTTCATCATAGTCGGTTTTCACCTGATTTCTTATGCCTTAGAGACTATATCGCTCAAGTAAAAGGGCGAGTACGACGAAATACGTGACGTCAATGCCGGCTCTACGCGGTGTCCGTCTCCGCGTATTGCCTCAGTGGCGGTCAAAGCTGCGCTCCGAACAAAAGCACAATGTTCGCGGAAACTCCCTCGCAAATCGGCCAAGTGATTCCGGCCGGACGCTCCGGCGGTGCGGGGGGCCCGAGTCAAGGCCGGCGGCGCCCGTCTTCTGCCGCGAGACCATATTGCTTCGAGAATCACTTGTGCGGCAGGGCGGAATAAACAACGGTCGACCTTCATCCGCAACAGACCGGTCGTGAGGCCGGCCGGATAGCGAGCCGGTCGTGATATCGGAAACCGCCCACAGCCGCTCTCGACACCTCGGTTGGGCGCCAACTAGGGCCGAAAAGTGCACGCTTTCTCTTCGCGGAAGTTGCGAATTCCCGATCGCTCCGTGTAAACACCTCCCGCGTCCTATGGACGGTCCGCTTGATCGCCGTGAAGGCGCGATTCAGGTACTCCGCGTTCATGGCTGTCCACACGAAATATGGAGTCCCTCCTGGCTTTTCTGCTCCGTTCACCCCTAAGCTAACAATCCGGTGGAAACAACGTGCTCGCTGGACAAATTAGCTAGCTCTCTTTCATCACCTGACCCAGTTCTCTAGGTATGGGCAGGAGTGTGATCACGCGCCGAAAGACACACACGTAACTTCCATCGGACTGTCAGCTTAGGGGTGAGCGAGGTATAGAGGACAAGATTTCACGCATGCACGGCGGATTAGTGGTAAAGCGAATCTACGGAGGGGGGGGGGGGGGGGGGGGGGGGGGCGGGAGGGCGGGGGGAGGGGGGGGGGGGAGAAAGAGGTAGGAGTCAAAAGGTTGGGTCCACTAAAAGTCTGAGGCGTTAAGGAGTCCATTTGCGGGGGCATTTCGACACTTACCGGCGCACCCCGAAAGTTTCGTTTCGGTTTCAGACAGTTTCTAGAGTAAATTTTAGCGATGAATAGCTCGAACCTCGTGCTCGATATAGGATTTGCTAAGAACTGGGCTAGCCTTCTACATTGACTGCTTCCAGTTTCGCAATATAAACATGTGCCCTAAATCTTATAATTAAAAGTGAATTATTGAGTTTTAGTTAATTACGCATCTTTTGGATGCATACCTTGAGCATAGTGTCCGCTTGGCCGTATAACTCATCCGCACAAACCACAATGCTGTAGGTTTTACGTTTTATTTTTAGGAACTCCTGTAAAGAAAAATTCGGCTGATACACTTAAGACTGCTTACTTGTAGGAATGCGAAAGCATTCTTAAACGCAGCGCATTCCTACAAGCAGCGCGCCATGTCTTCCTTTTTTCACACGGCGCTCCGGCGGTAACATCACGCTCCCCCACTGCGCAGGCGCGGTGCACCCGCCGGCTCCACGGCTTCCGTGACGATGCATCTGCGTTGCTGTGCTTTTCTTTATGTTTTATTTCTGAGGTGCGTCCGCTTTGACTTTGAATGCACCCGCCGACTTCCGTGCCGAAGCACGGAAGTCGGCGGGTCGCAGCCAATGGGAATTTAGGTGCCATTTTCGCTGGACAGACAACGCCGGCTTCGCTCCATGGGATAGGTAATGCTTTCGCATGAATAAGAAGCATGGAAGACACGTAAGCTTCGCCTTTAAGAGTGGAACGCGATAGCATTATCGGGCCCCGTTCGCATCGCCTTCTCATTCGCTTCTCCTGCTCTTCCTGCCGGTGAGCAGGAAGTGCGGTGGACATGGCGTAGTCTGCAGTGAGTATGGCTCGCAACCGAAAGGTCCTAGAGTCGAATCCCGCCTAAAATTGTTCAAATTTTGCTTCGAGGGAAATTAATAACTTTATAAAATGAGATCATTTGAGATTTGTGGCGACCTTAAATTCGCACTACCTGTCATCTTTCTCTTAATCACTTTCATTTCACGCGTAGCGTCATGTTTCACGTGAGCGTCATGGGTTGTTTGAAATTACCACGCGAGGTTATGTGGCTGCGACATCACGACCCTATTGACCAATCAGGATTTTCACGTCACGTCACCGACATCGGCTTTTCTTAACGCTATCTCGTTAAATAAACACCTTGTCTAATTCCTGGACAGCTGCACGGTCACTGACAGCGAAAGAAACGCAGGACGTGACCTATCATGATTGTCCTTGTTTTGTGAGTGGTCCTCTCTCATTCTTTGCTGTCGGTGACTATAATTACGACACGATGTGGGCAATGACCCCACGGCACGCGGGAGGGAACTCACGCGACTTCATCGAGCCGCGCACCAACCTCACATCTTCTTGCGATTGCATCCACAATCCCAAACCTGGAAACCTGCGTCCACCGTATCATCCAGCTATCTGGTTAAAGTATATGATCGATTTAATGTACTCGTAAAGATATTTTGCGGAGCGATCATCTGCGGGAAAACGTCTCTGAAAATGCAACCTTGTTGGTCGCTTGTTAGGGTAGTCGTGCCAATAAACTTCGGCGCTCGAACGCCAAACGTGTTGGTCAGCAAAGTAACGTTCTGGTATAAGCAGCCATTGGTGTCATATTTGCAAGTCTAAAAGCCCCTGAAAAAGAAAATATTGTAAAAATAAACAGAAAGGTGCGTTAGGAGTCGACATTTTATATTTTGTTTCGCGTCGGCAGAATAATATTGTTAATTGACTCTTTGTAAATTCTTGGAAAGACGCTGAAATTTCGCATCGAAAAAGATCGAGCTCTAATAAATGTGCACCCTCGACATTCCTAGAAAGTTCATGACAAACTCTTCACCCCATCAAGGACATGCAGAGCGTAAGGAAGTGGAGTCAAGTTGTGTTTTCGTGCCAAACACGACTTACGCCGCTGATACGTAACAATTGCTCAGGCGCATCGCACATTACGCGGCGCATCCGACGATTCCATCTCGAGGTCAAGTGCCACGGGTAAATTTACCTCCGCGGCACTTTACCCGCAAACTTTACGCTAATCATCATCTTTTCATCGTCGTGTAATTATGCCTACATTTATAGGCTCCAAGTCCGTGTTGAGACTTTCTAATACTTCTCAAAATTTAAACGACGAAAAAAAAAAAAACACGTATTCTTAATCGCCGTGAATCAGCGACTAATGTGACGAGCGAGCCCTCGAGAGCGACGAACCACCCCGGCCGGCGTCGTTAGCGCGATGCGGGCCGATTCCCGGTCGACGGCGTTATGTAAGCGCCCGGCGAAGCCTCAGGAGAAAGGGAATGCCGCCGTGTGCCCAGGTTTGAGAGTGTTACAAAGCTGGCCGACCGGGGTCACGTGGTTTATGTACCGCGTTTGCAACGCAAGCTGCGAGGAGGACGCGAGAGCGTCGATCCTCTGCTAGGCGTTCCTCGGATCCTCCGATCGCTGTTCCCCTTGCCACGGGGCGTGAGCTCGTGCAACCAATCTGCAAGACCTGTATGTAACGTGTTACACGTAATTTGTACATCTGTCCAGTTACTTATTTTACTAACGAAGTAGCGACTTCCCTGCTTCTCGAGAGACAGAAGGAGTAACGTATTTTCGTTACTCCTGGATGAAGTAAGGAAGAACGGTGTTTAGTTACTTCTGGAGAGGAACGTCTACAATACAAGTTACCCTATTTGGTTTTCACACCAGCTCACGCCTGTGGCTTCACCGGCAAAACAAAAACGAGAAGAAAAAAACGCCCATTAGAAAGAGAAAAAAGAAAAGATGCTTATGAATACGTTAAAAAGGAAATGATTACTAACGTCTGGAAATATTGTTAGGCGTCGACTGTTTAAGAAAAACAACAGTTTTAGAGTACCGAGAAAGGAACTCGTTAATTTTGAGCTGAAAGTAACGCCACCCTTTTGAATCTCAGTAAAGAGTAAGGTACCTACTTACGTTTTAAAAAAGTGACGAATAACAGTGGCTATAGTTCCTTCTTTTTTTTCTTTTTTTTTTTTTTTCGGTAACGCGTACACGTTTGCAATCTGCGCAGGAGGTGCGCGCCATTCAAAAGGCAAACGCTCTTCGCGTTGTGAGGTGCTTCTTCTCTGAAATCTAGGCTCTCGAGAATGGCAGCCAGCGGGTGAGGCGCCTGGCCTTGTCCTCTCATTGGGTCCCCCTCGGCGGGAGCGTCCTCGCTTCTTGCACACCTCTTGCTTTGCGCGCACGAAGACGGACGGAGAGTCTGCGGCGAGTGGCTCCGATCTCCCAGGCCGGGTTTTAGAGCGCCAGAGCCGACTGGACACGGGACTGGCATCGCCTGTTTGGGATCAGCGGGGATACGTCGTTGCAAACCCGACCGGGATACCTGGGCAGGTGAGTGGACACGCGGTACGGCCAACCACATGTCTCACCGATCTAGAGGGGGAGAAGGGCCATGTGCTTAGTTAAGTCGAAAATCAACGAGTCAACGTTGTGACGGAGCGTTTTTTTTTTTTCTTCTTTCTTTTGTTTCATTTTACAGGGTGTGTTATTTAAACCCAAACGACGTTATAAAAAATATAAGAAAACGTGAATTGTACATTAACGCGGTCTGTGCAGGTGTGTTATACAGCCAGGGGGACATAACGTCGATGTCTAATCGTTACAATAAGTCTAATAATTAACTAAAGTTCGGTAAATAACTCGTTAATTAGTAAAGTAAACACATGCTTCTAATTAGAAACTTGCTGGGACTCATCAAAAGCCATTATACTAGTAAATCATGGAAAGGTTTAAAGTACGTGAAAGCGCGGGGGTGCGCTAAAGTTACCACTCCTGCAACAGGCATAAGCCTGTGGCCCGACTTTTTTTTTTTTTTTATAAAATAGCCTAAATTAAAAATGAAACACCGCGTATATTAAGTAATCACGATTTTTGTGGGATCCTTTTTATTATATTCTTGTACTGGTGAACGATCTCGGTATATTAGTCCCGTTATTAACAACTCATATTACACGATCATCTCATTAAACGAACTTTAAAATGCGCAAACATATTTCAACCTTGCGTGTCGTAGCACTGGATTTGGTTCAATTATCATAACGTTACAAATGAACATCGGGGCAAACTGACGTCACACAACCGCTAAATTTTGTAGTCCCGCTAATTAATAAAGTTAATCAATGAGGGTAACTAAATAATTGTAAAGATATAAATACACGCGTCATTCCGCCTCACACTCAGTTTATCCGTAGGATTGAAGTACAATTATATTTTTTTTCTAGATATACATTAGATGACAGACTTGAGATCAATGACGTGTTGGTCTAGAACCACGTGGAACATAAACGGGCGTTCGTCGATCAACGGCAGCATTTATATTTGATATAATTTGAAGGAAGGCTCTAAAGTCACTGCGAGCTGAAGGAAGGCAATCTTGCTTGTTGTTTCATGCTTCTCGCTTGGTGTCTACTTTGAAGTGAATAACCAAAAGCAGGGAGCATGATAATGCTCCTTGCTTGGTGATTCGATCTTCGGCGTTCTCAACAGCCGATACAATTGGCTGTAGAGCGACAATAGGACGCCCGAGAACCCGCCACGCCCTGCGTTTGCTTTGAGCTGGTTACGTACCAATCCGGCTGAAGTGTCCTTTCGACCGACGGGTCAATTCGGCTTAAAGATTCGATCCGGCTGAACGCTCTCCTTCGGCTGGATACCCAATTCGGCTTAAAACCTCAATTCGGCTGGAGTGGACTGGAAGCCGAACTGGGTATCCAGCCGAATCGGAGCGTCCGGCCGAATCGAAACTTTAAGCCGAATTGGCGCTTCAGCCGAATGGATACCTCAGCCGAATCGAGATGACACCCCTTCAGCTGGCAGTGATTGCACGGCGAGCAAGCGTTCCAAAATTCGTCTTTGGTGCATCGGAACGCAAGGAGAGGCACGCCAATCAAAGGACAACGAAGAGGCAGTTAAGCGTGCGCCGCCGTCATTGGTAGGTCGTTGGAAAGCAAATACACGTGGCTGCGTTTTAGAGGGTACAACAAACGCACCAGGTGAGCGAGGGTTAGACGAACTTGCCCGCCGTATAGCACAATTTTGAAGCTTCATGAAGCAACGCGTGCAACTCGTCAGAATGGTCTTTGGGCCATGTAACCTTATCTGAATGATGCATAAGTATATATATATATCTTTTGTGATATCGATGAGTTGGGGATGTATAACGTTCGGCGCTATTCGTATCCTTTTTACTGTATATTACAGAACTGATGTTTTACTTGTCATTATTGTCCGGCGTGTTGACGAACAATAATACACAAATAGCGCTGTCTCCTAGCTTTAACAAAGGACTCAATATGTGTAACACATCTGGAATGTTACAATTTTGTAAACAATTTTCACGCAACTTTGCGAAAATGGAAATTCTCTGGAACAAATTTTAAAGACTCAAATTTGTGGGAAGTTACTCAGTAATAACAGAAAAAGCGTTGTAGGCAATACTTATCATGAAAAACTTAGTACGCTCGAATATACCGGAGTGTATAAGGAAACGTGTACTTCGTAAGACGAATTGTTACCCGTAGCAATTCGTCTTACGAAGTACTCTTTCCCTTATCCATGAGAGTGTATTTCTTGCGTGTAATGAATGTTTCATAGGAAGCCGAAAACTACTGAAGCGCGGCTCAACAGTGTTCAAATTCTCTCAAGATCTTTGATCCTTTCTTGCTTTTCCGCTCGAACAAAACTTCGGCGTGGCATTTAATTTCTACAATTCGGCAATCAATATTTTATTCATCGAGTGTTTATGACGTTTAAAATTGATAATGAGATTAAATGTTCAGATTCATCAAGTATTGCGATCTATCACGTTCAGAATGACGGCTTTAAATTTAGGAAATATTCTGAATAATACAAATGCCAAGATATATTAACTCGACACCAGCTTGCCAGTTCAAATTGGGCGCATCTCATTCGTTATTCATTAAACCACTAACGTGTGAGGCATCTGCGTAATTACCGGTCGTGTTGTCACTTATGGGTTAGTTGAACTTGTAACAGGGTGCTTGTAAAATCTGAGCAAAGAGGTGCAATCGGTGTCTCGGTATTCGATCATGGTCTCTGCGTACGGTAATGCAACTTACAGCAAAATCGTAGTTCCCCATTATAACATCTGATTCTTGAATAAGGACGCATGAGGGGCTTTATTTTTTTTTATCTATGACAACTTTGGACGTAATGACATCAAATTTCTGAACTCCACAGTAAATCCAACCTCTTCCCCCAAAAAAAAGAAAAAAAAAAAAAAACGTTTTTGATTTGAAAAATTCCAGGCTGCAGCGGTATAGGCTTGGCAGAGCTTTCTCTTACTCCTTTTATTGAAGTTAAAAAAAGTCACCACTGCATGAGTATAACCCAAGGCAGAAACTTTCTTTTCAGTTATAGCTCAAATTAAAAAAAAAAGAAAAATGTTTTATATACGCAAAAAATATACCCAATAGAAACCAACAGCGCCCAAAAACAAAAAAAAAGGTTTACAGTAAACATTTCAAGTCTGAGCGAAATCCTATTGTATCATTTCAAATGCGGCATTAAAATCAATTTGTGAATTAAGGGTGAATAAAATGCTGCAGAATGCATATAAACAATTTGGCAGATTAATATTTATTCGGGAGAAAATTCGTGTATCGCATGCGTTTAAAAATAACAGTGAGACCAAGATTCCACAATTTTATTGGCTTGAAGAGCAATTGTCAAAACATTGTTTTCCAAGAGAAAAAAAAGATATATGGAAACCGTTGACCCTTGTTCATACACAATACTTCGCACTCACTACTAGTCAAAACAGACTTTCGCATGTATTGCCAAGGTGGCAGTTCCTGCATCCTCAAAACTGATTGTTGATCAAGTGCCTTGTGTTCATACTAGGCCTGTCAGCTTGTATTAAATCACTATATTTTTTCAGTGGCACAGATCTGAGCATGTAGGTAGCTTTTGGTTACTTTACACATCTCCCACTAGTTTATACTTCTCTCACTACTAGTACATCACTACTAAAGAAGGTAATCTTGACATATCCTTTCCGATTTTATAAGGACGACAAGTGCATAACCAGTATCAAAAGCAGATGCCTCTCGGTTCTTGTCTTTCGAATGTAACTAAATATATACAGAATCAAATTATAATTCTCAAATAACCTCTGGGTACGCACACAACTAAGAGTGTTCGCCGGATGCTTAAGGTCTTGACCTTGCTCCGTTGAGCACCCCTGGTTTGGCATCGCTCTTCTTTGCCGTTAGAGGCAGTCAGCTTTCCCACGCCTGGCTGTTGGCACAAGCGACGGGCGTGCATAGATTCGTTGATGCAGCATTCTGCGTTCATTCAATCTTATATTTCTATTTTGGATACCACCAGAACAACCAGTTTGGGTATAACATTTTGATGCCCAAAGCTATGGAAACTATATTGTAATAAGTTGGACACACATAAAAATAAAAAATGTTGTTGTTTTTATTCAATTTAATGTAGGCGTTTAAAAAATTCAGATTATTTAAATTAGGTAATTATTTTGCGAATCGGAATATGTCAGAATAGTTACTCTTGACTAGTCTGCGTCATTTAATAACAGCTGCAGGAATATTCCTAGGCCATTATATTTTAGGTGGGCGTCTGAACTTGCATTGGGCACGAATGCTGTGTCAGCACTTAAAGTAGATTTTGATCCAAATGTAAGCGATACGCGTCAGTGTTCCGTATGAACTCAAGTGGAGTGAAAGTTTTTGCGCTGTAAACGATCTCTAAAATAAAGCGACCAGCAATGTTGTCTAATAAGGCTCTGTAAATCGGTTATTCAGGCTTTAAGAAAATCTGACTTTTGCGCTATATACAAAGAAGCATGAAAACAAGTATCTGATTACAGAAAGATATGATAAATTGGTTCTCGAGATATTTCGTTTCTTCAAAACTTTATTTATAATTCGTCTATGTAACAATTGGAGCATATTTAGTTGCAGCAGTAGCGTGTTTTATTTATGGAAGCATTTTTCCGCTCTGAATGCTGATATATACACAACTAAGAGGACATTTTAGTCCTGCTATACATGGCCACTGAACGATCCAATTGTAAGCTAAATGATATGTCAAAGTGAGACTCGAGCAGAGGGTTAACAACTAAAAAACAATATTAATGAACAATCTAGGACCCTTGCGATTGATTCGTCGAATAACACAAGGAACAAAAATTATTTTAGATGTGTAAACATGTCAAAGTGCGCAACCAAAATCAGCCCCGCCCGAAGCGACACAGATACTATCTTGCAACTTACTAATGCAACACGTAAAGTGCATAGCCGTTTACGGAACAATTCAAGCTTCCGATTTCGACATTCTACCGCACA